GAAGGAAGGAAGATGAGTAGATAAATAGATGGATCGAAGGAAGGAAGATGAGTAGATAAATAGATGGATTGAAGGAAGGAAGGGGAAAGAAGGAAGGAAGGGATAACAGAATTGAAAGAGACTTCGGAAAGAAGGAAGAGAAGGAAGGAAGAGAGGGAGGGAGGGATGGATAACAGAATTGAAAGGGACTTCGGAAGGAAGGAAGGAAGGAAGGAAGGAAGGAAGGAAAGGAAGGGATAACAGAATAACAGAATTGGAAGGAAGGAAGGAAGGAAGGAAGGAAGGAAGGAAGGAAGGAAGGAAGGAAGGAAGGAAGGAAGGAAGGAAGAGCAATAGCACTTAGACTTATATACCTCTTCACAGTGCTTTTCCAGCCCTTTCTAACCTGTTTAGAGTCAGCCTCTTGCCCCCAACCATCTGGGTCCTCATTTTACCAACCTCGGAAGGACAGAAGGCTGAGTCAACCTTGAGCCCACCAGGATCAAACTCTTGGCAGTGGACAGTGAGCTGGCCTTCAGTACTGGATTCTAACCAGTGTGCCACCATGGCTCTTAAATAAACATTAACCCTTTGCCAAGTGTCTGAATTTTGATCACGCCACCACGGGAATGCTGCAGTGGTCATTAAGTTGGGGAAATCGGTCCTAAGTCGCTTTTTTCAGTGCCGCTGTAACTTCGAACGGTCGCTAAATGAAGTGTTGTTAAGGCGAGGACTGCCTGTAATGGCCTGTGGGAGAGACCTTGGGAGACAGGAGGAAAAGAGGCACCTGAGCCCTCAGCTGATCATGGGCAGAGAAGGAAACTCCGAGGAGACCCGGGAGATCCGAGTTTCTCAGGCTGTAAAAGAGGGGGAGAATTGTACATTCACACGGGCAAGATTCCGTCAATGGAGCTTTGCCATAAAGCAGGATTAACTCATCTCTGGTCAGGTCTCCTCTCTGGTTTGCCCCGCGAGGCCGACATACTAGTGGTATGTATTGGCTGCTCAAAAGCCCGCTTACCAGATGCCGAATCCCATTCCAGGTGTGGTAGGTTAGAGGAAGGGCCAAGGCAAACTTGGAAGAATAAATTAGAGCGGATCCCAGGCTGAGCGACTTAATCATATCCAGGTAGTCGGAAAACTGTCCAGGAAGGACCAAGGCACTTAATGCGAAGAGCGACACACCTGGTGAGGAAACACATCCAGTATGAATAGGATACAGGCAGTCAGTCAGTCAGTCTATCTATCATCTACCGACCTACAGTATCTATCTATCTATCTATCTATCTATCTATCTATCTATCTATCTATCTATCTATCTATCTATCTATCTATCTATCTATCTATCTCTCTCTATCATCTATCTACAGTATCCATCATCTATCAATCTATTTATCTACCTACCATATTTATCATCTATCATCTACTGTATCTATCATCTTTTTCTTTCTTTCTTTCTCTTTCTTTCTTTCTTTCTTTCTTTCTTTCTTTCTTTCTTTCTTTCT